AAGGTAGTTGATATATGTTTTGGAATGTATTGTTAATAATAATCATCATCATCATCATCATCCACTTCTTGTGGCAAAGAGCAAAGCCTTGGAAAAAAAAAAAGATTCTGCTGTATAATTAGCCCTCTCAGCCTGTGATAAGTGAACCCTGTCATTCATCAAGACCTCTTTTATTTTAACACTCTTGTAAGTATACGCCTTGGACGCCGTTCACTTTGGCCATCAGTCACTTGACGCGGAATCCGTACCAACTAATAGAAAGCCATTAGGCGTGACTGGGGCTAATTTGGTAAGAAATCCTCTCTGCTGGTTTCAACTTGAGCCGTTTGTCAAAATGGGAAGAGTTGTGCTTCGGTCGGCGTCAATAATAAGAAGACATGATTATAGAGACGACTTGAACAAATACAGACTGCCTTGTTGATGATTAAATCCCTCGTGAATGGCGTGCGTTGAGAAAGCCTCGCAGGCAAAGCTCAATGATCAGTCAGGAGCGGATCTCGGAGTTCACCCGAGGCCACTGGAGACTCCTTTCCTTTGCTACGCTTGCCCTTCTTTACCTCCCCCCGCCCTTCACATGTACTCATTCTTGAAAATTGTTCATTTTGATGCAGAGCTGCTTTGTTCGCTGCATATCGACGGGAACGCTTGAATCGCCTTGGGTGAGTTTCAACAGTTCAGTGCCGAGGTCACCGTACACGGTGTCGGTGTCTTGAACGCTTCGGGCAGTGGGGAAGACAAGAGGAGTGAACGCTCGCCGTTGCCAAAAGTGCGTATTCACCATGCGGTGGGTCACGTCCAGGGTTCAATTTATGCAGCTCCAATGGAAGCTTAAAAATGATCCGTCTGAATCATTGTAATTAAAACGGTATTGTTTTGTTGTATGAAAAAACTGAGAGGGCAAGTGTTCTTCAAGCCCCCGTAAAATGAACATGACGGCTACACGAAAGAAAAGAAAACAACCATGCCAAATCTGAACGGTTTACATTGGCTTCAAAAATCAAGATAAATCTGGTCATTGTAGAATTACTGACTGCTTTACTAATCCACAAGTAAAAAAAAAAAGAAGTGCAGACCACCATTCATTTGTATTCTTTTTGCTTGACTCCCCCCGTTGAGTGCGTGAGTTGTCGCATGTCGAAATGTCACACGGAAATGATTTCAGCAAACAAAAATGAAATTGGCAGGCCTGCGCACGTTCTATTTGCATTCACGTCGAAATAGATCAAGAGCAATCTTTGTTCTTTGCTCGTATGATTGTCAGTCTGCTGTCCAGAGGCGCCTGAAACGCACGGCCATGTCTCGGAAAGCAACAAAGAAAGAAAACCCAGAAAGCTACGAGTCCCCGTTTGAACCTTTGCACACCGAATGTTTGTTAAATTCCAAAATGTGAAACTGTTTGACAAGAAACCTCACTCATCAATCATTCCTGTGCCATAATTTCCTTTATTCTTCATTGTAGCACTCCAGTTTGAAACGATTCGGAAACCTTTGCATGAATGCCACTGCAGGAACATCATCAGCAAGAAGCCATTTGCAGCGTTAATTGTCCGGGTCGACGGCGTTCAGCTTCGGCATGTCCATTTGTGTCGCCTTGTCATGTCGCCGTATGTAATACCAAACAAGCCCCGAAATGAAAAGGAGCAGGCCTAATTCCATACCTAACTCACCCAGGCACATCCCTTTCATTCGCATCCTATTTGATGAGCTCTTTTTTCTTTTTGCGCCAACAACTGTTATCCCGAGCCAAGTCGGAACACGGACGTATCCACAACAAACGCACTCATTAACACAATTGGAAAGCGCCGCTTAGGGAGCGGGTTTGATTCTCGTATTCATCATTTATGTCAAACGGAGAGAAAGTCCAAACGAGGGTTGGTCATATTGCGACACCTCATATTTGGATTAGGATACAGAGGGCGACGGTTCCATTAGTTACAGAATATCCAAGCATTATTTTCTCTTAAATGTCTTAAATGTTCCCTGCTTTCCAATGAAGTTCCATCTGTATATCAGTGATGGAACCCAAATCTCTCAGTACCTTGTGACTATGAATTGTGGTTGCTCGATTTTTTTTAATGACCTCAGTCCTGAGAAATTGTGATGTGATGTTCAGTTGACAGCAAGTGGCAAAATGGCCACCCCCTGACATGGATAAAAAATGGCTGGATTTTTGACTAGTGGGTGTGCATAAGAACCGATTTTTGTCATGGAAATTTGGGGGTTGACTTTTTCTTTAAGGCCTGCTCAACACGTTTTTACGGCATTTTTTAATCAGAGATACATGTAGTTTTTTTTTTTTTCATTTCCATTCCATTTATTTATTTATGTTCCATTGACTCCAAATCTGACCCCGTTTTTTTTTTCTCCAACATACCAAGTTTTCATCATAATAAACAGAATGAAAGTAATACATGTCATATAGTAATATAATTATTAATCTTTATGAACATGTTTTTTTTTGTTTTTGTTTTTTTATCGGAAGCGTTATAGCTATAAATGACAACATGTGGTAAAATGCGTATTTCACAAGTTTTTTTAGGTCAAACTTAAAACCAAACAAACAAAAAAATCTGCCAAACCTGATGTGCTAAAAGAAGGAAAGACATTTTTGAATCTCGGATTCAAAATTTGCTGTTGACTCGTGTTGTCGTCAAAGCCAAAGCTGTTTCTGGCTTCCATTTTTGCAAATCGGCACAATTGAAATTGATGATAGAAGGCGTGTGAATTAAAAAAAAAAAGCGGAAGATGGTTGGGCCTTTTTTTTTTTTTGTGCATTTTTTTATAGGCTCTCTTTAAAGTGCTTGTTCAGCAAAGCAGGAGCGCAGACCTTATCAGGACATTGCTTAGATCACATGCCAGAGATTTCTCAAGTTCAGCACTTTTATGATTGCTTGCACTCATATTCACGTTGATACGCGTACTCGACATAGCCTCCGAACCATAAACACACCCAGAAGAATGCACACACTTTTCATGCCATTCGTAATCACTTCCAATCATTCTCAGCCTCGCTCTGCCTTCAGTTGCCTCCATTGATTTGATGCCGGTGCCGTTAAATGCCCAAAGCATGAAAGTTTCATATCATTGTGTGAATCTTGAATTCATTTTTAGACAACAGTGTGGGAGTAAAATAAACAATCACTCTACATATAAAACTGAAGCGACGGCAAGGTCAAACTCTTGATTGCGAGATCACTGTGAATGCCCTTTTTTTTTTTAGTTATGAGTGACAAAACGCTTCATCAGGAGGTCGTTTTAAGATGGAAACAAAGTCACCAACACGCCCCCTTACAAAAATGGTGCAAAAAAAAATGAACAACAATGATTTTTGTCTCACCGCTCACTCATTGACTCGCATCAAGCGATTCCTCTGTGGTAACAATGATGAATTCTGCCCTCTAGTGGCTGAACATTTAATTGTTCTGTCTGTCACTACGTTGTCGTTGGTATAGATTGACGAAGAAACGTGATACGTTATTTGATGTCAATACAGTAGGTAATCATTTTCAGACCAGTGAAGTGAAATTGAACAAAAAAAAAAAATCATAAAAAAATAAAAGCAGCGTTATTCAGCAGTGGAGTGACAACTACACAGGAAGAAATGATACCAATTTTATTACCATTGTGTTTTGGAAAAAAAAAAAAAATTGTATGGTTACAATGAATCCCTCCCCCCATTAACATCCTCTTTTACATGTAGACACGGATGATGATGGAACTCTCCTTTATTTCCTCCCACAGTTATACGGGCAGAGTGGTAGGAAATGGTCTGCATGCACAAAGACAGAATCCAGAGGTCAAAGTTCGGAGCGCTAACCCCTCGCTCGCTGACGTGAAGGAGAGGCTTGAAACCTTCAACCAGGTAAGATGATGACTTCATGCTTGTCGACAATCATTTGCATATCACATGTTCCGCTCTTTAAAGAGCTCGACTGTCCTGGCGTGGGTCAAATGCTCAAATCAAACATCCCGTGGTGTAATTCAAACTTTGAAACGGTTTCCAGGTGTCTTAATAACATGCCTGTGACGTGTTTTTCGTGACCG